CAAATTAGTAGAAATATGTAAAACATGTAAAAAGCGTCGTATTTGTCGTTGTTGAATGAAGTTATCGTTCCATAGTGTCCAATTTGGAAATGATTGTTAATCTAAATCGCAGGTTATAATTTAATTAAGTGTACGTTTCATAATAAAGGAAAGAGTAAAACACGAATATGTGGGCATGAGCGAATGAAATAAATCAATTTTTCGCGTAATAAAATTAAAAAATAACCGAAACGAAAAAATTGACGATAAGATTAAATTTGATTATAAAAGAAAAAAAAGGAAAAAAAAGAAAAGGGAAAATATGAAAAGAGCAAAGAAAAAAAAAAAAATTTACTGCGAATACATAAAAAGAATATCTAAAAAAGGTTGAACAATATATATATATATATATATATATATATAATAAATTTTAAAAATAAATAACATACATGCAATATCATCGTAAAACATTCAACAATGTTAACTCGCCAAAAGATAAAAAAAAAAAAAAAAAATTTTTTTTTCTTTTTTTCATTTTTTTTTGAAGAAAAATGAAAAAGAAACAAAATAAAATAATAAAAGAAATGAGGCGTTATAAAACATAAAAAATTTAAAAATTTTTTCAAGCGGAATGAAACAAAAAAAAAAAAATAAGAAACTTTTTTTTTTTATATTTTAAGAAAAGTTAAAAAAAAAAAATCACGGCCGAAAGAATGTAAAAAAAAAAAACGTTAAAACAAACAAAAGAAAAAATTTGCAAAAGAGAGAAAGAAAGAGAGAGAAAAACAAACGATTATCGAATACGAAAAAAAAAAAAAAAATGGAAGAAAAATATCGTTTGATGAATAAAAAAAACAAAAAAAACATTTAAATAATTAATTAATTAACGAATCAAACGCCATTTTTTTTTTTTTTTTAATTGTATACGTATTTAAAAAAAAAAAACCTTTCGGAAAATACAAAAAAAAAAAAAAAAAATGACAAAGAAAAAAAAGAAAATTAATTTAAAACGATAAAGGGTTAAAGTTCAAATAAGATAAAAATGAAAAAATAAAGAGAAATTAAAAACAAAAAGCGAACGAAAAATATATACATATTATTTCGAAAAATGAAATCGTGGAAGCAGAAAGGTAAAAAAAAAATAGAAAAATATCCGTCGAACTATTTCAAAGCAAAATAAATAATAATAATACAATATAATTTTTTTTTTTTTGGAAAATAATAATTTAATAATTACGGTTGACGAAATAATTTTATTACTACGTTAGTCATATTCATTCATCCGTTTACAAATCATTACCACTACTTTAGTTTTTAACAAATTTTTTTTTTTTGTTTGTTTTGCTATCGTTAAAACGCGGTAAATTTCAAAAAAACAACAAAAAAAGGTTAAAAATAATATTTTTAATGTGTCGACAACTTGTATTTATGTAAATAAATAAAACGGAAAAAATAAAAAATGTTTTGTTTTTAAAATGACGTAATTTTTAAATACGTCATCAATTTTATTATTATAATGACGAAAAAAAACAATTCTGTATTGCTGTCGCCTTAGCAAATATAAAATATACTGAATTGTAGTGAATTATTCCTTGTCGGAAAACGGAATGATTAATGAACTAACGTTTCAGACGAATGTCGTGTTGTTGTTGTTGATATTATTATTATTATTTTTTTAAATTGCGACATTTTAACCGGTCAGAACGAATTTAATAAAATAATAAAAAAAAAATAAATAAAGAAAGAAAAGAAAATAACTTACGGCGATTAAGTTAGGAGAATGAGTTGAACAATCTGTCGCAAAATGTTCGATAACTTGCCAGTTTGATTTTTTCGGCGTCATTTCCTGATGACCGGAAACGGATGAACTATCAATATTTGATAACTGACTCTCGTTTACAATAGATTGTCCTTTCATTTTTAAACTCGCTGCACGACGTGTCATTTTTACTTTTAGAGAAACTTCCTAAAAAAAAAAAAAAAAAGATGAAGGGGATTTCATTTTATTCCGTCATCGTACGAAAATAATAATAATAATAATAGTAATAATAATAAGTTTTTTTTTATCGTTGGTTAAATCGTGCGGTATTCGCATAAAAAAAAAATTTTCTTTTTTTTTTTTTTTTTTGGATTTTGTGGAAAAATGAAAAGCTCGTTAAAATCCTTTTTTTCAACCCGCAATATCCTTAATTAAATATTAAAAATTATTATTATTATTATTATTATTATTTTTTTTTTTCCTTCGGATCATTTTAAATATAAACTGCCGCAATTTTTTTTTTTTTTTTGAAAATTTCAATTTTATCGATCGTTTTTTTGTTATGAAAAGTAAAATTTTCTTTTTTTTTTTTTTTCGTCAAAACAAAATCGTGGGGAAAATTCAAAAAAAAAAAAAAAAAAAAAGAAAATTTTTTTTTTTATAGATTAGTTTAAAAATAAAATGGGGAGACATTATCGATCACCATTATTATCACGATTTAAAATTTTATTATTATTATTATTATTACTGTTATTCGCGTTTTCCTTCAGCTGACGGTGGTTAATTTTCTATTTCCGGTTGGAAAATGATCGAATTCGAATAAAAAAAAAATTAAAAAATTGTCTGTTTTTCATAGCGGAATTTTTTTAATGTGATTTTTATTTGTGATAATTTTTAAGTAAGTGTCAGTAAAAAAAAAAATCGTGGAATCAAAGATCAAAGACGTGGCGGTAGATTTAATGGAATGTTAAAATCATTTTTTTATTATTCCGACTCCGAGTTTGCACCGGAAAAAATTTTCGGTAGGAAAGAATTTGAAATTTTCATTTGAATTTTTCTCTTCGCCATTCCCCTCCTCTTTCACCACCTCCTCCTTTCCCCTCCTCCTCTGCCTTTTTTAACCTTATTCTCTCACTTTTTCTAATTTCTACTTCTCATTACTTGTAACTTTTTTCATCCCGTGGGAACAACCTCGATAAGCCTTCTC